ACAGTGATTTTAGTAATAAGAACAGCAGCAATAGGAAAACTCTAGTTCCAGAAGCTTTGTTGATTTGAAACATGTTTTTCTTTCATTTAATCCTTAATTTAGGCTCCACAAAGTCCTCCAAACAGATCTGATTTAAATGAGTTCAGAAATATAATGGTAGAATAATAGAATCCAGTAGATATATTTGGGGCACAGTGATCTAGTACAAATTAACAAGCTACCATATGATTACATTCAAATTCAAGACCAGACTAATTAATAGAGGACCGGAGAACTTGCTAATTTCAGCTGAGTCTGTGTGTATGGAGCACAGACATAACTATAAACCGTTTACTACTCTTGGATGAGGAAAACAAATCACAGCAGAGAATAGTAGAACATGAAATCTGCCAGTGAGCTATTTCTAATTTCTGACACTGAAAATAGACAAGCTGTCAACTGGGCACAACTGCCACAGGTCAGGTCCTGAGCCAAATGTGGTGCCTGTCATCAGAAAGAAGCAATAAATAGGACACAACTTGGTATCAGTTGCTTGTCAGAAAACAAAACCCAGAGACCAGTGGTGCTCTAAAAGCAGAAAAAGGAAAGAAAGGAAAGGAAATTATATACAGTCACTGGTCTGGCTCACCAAATATTAGACCCCCTTCCATTGTACTGAAAAGAAATGAAGTACATCTGGAGCAAGAACCAGGCAAAGGCATTTATAGAGAAATAGACAAATTATGGTACCCATTTCCCCCAAAAGCTGGAATGAAGTTTCTAAAAAATTTCTAAAAGTTACTGTCTCAAAATTGTAATTTTAAATATGTTAAGAAGGAGAAGTGACTAAATAAATGATTAAAATTTTGATACATTTTAAGCTTTCGTTTTGATTATGTTTACATTTTTAATTTTAAAAACATTGGAGCAAATCTCTTGCATGTTACTGAAAGTTTTTCAGATTATAAAGCTGTGCTTAAGCATAGAGCTGGAGGCGAGAAGATTAACAAAGACTAAGAAAAAGATTATAATAATGTTGTTAATTTTGTGGTTAATGACTTATATGACTCTTATCCCCTTCACTCCATTCAGACTGTGTGGACATAGAAATAGTTATTTACAGAAATTGTTTAGTAACTGATTAAACATAAAATGTGTAAAACTCACTATCATATGCTATTGCAGTGGCCACTGCCATAAATATAACTTCAAACTAGATGAATACATGGTAGAGGGGAAAAAAGTATCTTCTCAACTGAACTCAATTCCTGGAATTGTGTGGAAACATCCATTGTATAGTATAGTCTTTACTGTCATTGTACATCATGTATACAATGAAATTCGTTTTAGCCTCACTGGTGCAATCCATGACAAAAAACACAAACAACATTATAGTATAAAGAATAATCCCTATGCAAGTAATGGGGGGGGGGAGAGAGAGAGAAAGAAAGAAAAACTAGTCATACGTTTCCGTGTGTGCGTGGAGTGATTGTGGTTGTGTTTAAGAGTCTGACAGCCCAAGGACAGAAACTATTTTTAAATCTATTTGTTCGGCTGGCTATGCTTCGATGTCTTTTGCCCAATGGTAGAAGTGCGAAGATCTACTGACCAGGGTATGAATCCTCTTCCTTACTCTGCTAAAGCAGCAAGATCTGGTGATGTCATCCAGTGGTTTTAGAGGGCAACCAATGGTTTCTTGTGCCGAATTGATTACTCTCTATTGTGCCTTCCTGCCTGCAGCAGTTAAACCAGCGTACCATACTGTAATGCATATGAGGACACTTTCAATCGTGGATCGATAGAAAGAGGTCATCAGCCATTATTTCATCTGATTTTTTCACAGGACTCTAGGGAAATGAAGTATCTGTTGGGCCTTGCCAATCACTAGGGACATGTTATTTTTCCAGGTGAGATCTTGACTAATAAGCACTCCCAAGAATTTAATAGGAAGCCCTCTCCACACAGCCCCCCTCAACATACAGTGGGGCAACTTCTTTTCTGTGCTTCTGGAAATCTAACACCATCACCTTTGTCTTACTAGTATCTAGATATAACTTGTTTTTTGAACACCATGGTGATACCTTCTGGACTTCTTCCCTGTATGCAGATTCGGCCTTTCCAGTTATGAGACTCAACATCGTTGTGTCATCTGCAAACTTTATTATGATGTTGGATGATCAGTGGATATGCAGTCATGTGTATACAGCGAGTACAGATAGGGGCTGAGCACACAGCTCTGAGGGGAGCCTGTGCTGAGCTTCAGGGTGGAAGATGTAAAGGACCCAGACCTTACTGTTTGTGGATGATCCTTCAGGAAGTCTTTGATCCAGTCACAAGAAAGAGGAGGGAAATTCAGGTCAGTCAGTTTTTTAGTGAGAATGCCTGGTGAGATGGTGTTAAAGGCCGAGCTATAGTCTATAAAAAGCATTCAGACATAATTCTCAGATTTCTCAAGATGGCTCAGTTCAATATGTAAAGCAGTGGCGATGGCGTACCCTGTCGAACTGTTGCTTCTATAAGCAAACTGGTGTTGATTGAAATTTGGTGGAAGACAGGACTTGAGGTGTCATAGGACCAGTCTCTCAAAGCACTTCATCACTATAGATGTCAGTGCAATGGGTCTATAGTCATTCAGGCTGTTCATGGCTGCTTTCTTCGGAACTGGGATAATTGTGGCTGCTTTCAAGTATGAGATGGGACTCTAGCCTGTTGCAGGGAGAGGTTAAAAATCCTTGTCAGGGCCCCTGTTAATTGGTCAGCACAGGTTTTTACCACTTTCCCCAACACCCCGTCTGGACCTGCAGCTTTGTTGGAATTTACAGCCTTCAGCACAGCTGTCACTTGATGTTCATCCAGGGTGAATGGCTGGAGGTTAGAGGACCTTTAGGCTTGAGCCACATAGACTGGTCTTTTGATCTCAAAGCGGGCAAAGAAGTTATTTAGCTCCACCAACAGCAGGGCACATCAGCATTGGCTATTTTTTTCGTGTTGCCCTTATAGTTGGTTAGCTGTTGTAGCCCCTGCCACACCTGTCTTGAGTTATTATCTTCCAGATACTTCTCTACCTTTTGTTTGTATTTCTGTTTAGTCATCTTAATGCCTCTTTTCAAGTTTGCCCTGGCCTTGTTGTATTCGTCTTTGTTTCCTGCCCTGAAGGTTGAGTTTTGTGTTCTCAGAAGTGATTGTACCTCTAATGACCTCCAGGGTTTATGATTACTGTAAACTCTGATGTGCTTATTCACTGTTACATTGTCTGTACATGTTTCAATGTATGAGACTACAGTGTCAGTGAATTCTTGCAGCTCCAAATGTTCAAATATACTCCACTCGGTAGTCTCAAAGCAGTCCTGCAAGTGGCAGAGTGCTCCCTCTGGCCAGATTTTGACAGTTTTCTTGACTGGCCATATTCTTTTCCTAAGGGGGATATACTTTGGGCACAATAGCAGAGAGAGGTGGTCAGATGTACCCAGATGGGAGAGAAGGATTGCTCTATATGCCTTAAGTTCGAGTACATATGGTCTAGAACAGTGTTTCCCAACCTTGGCAATCTGAAGATGTCCGGACTTCAACTCCCAGAATTCCCCAGCCAGCGTTCGCTGGCTGGGGAATTCTGGGAGTTGAAGTCCGGACATCTTCAAGTTGCCAAGGTTGAGAAACACTGGTCTAGAATGTTCTTACCTCGGGTGGTACATTGCACATACTGTGGGAGAACAAATTTTAGACAGGCTTGATTAAAATCTCCAGCCACAATTAAAGTGCCCTCTAGGTAAGTTTGCTGCTGCCTCTAGATGGCGTCATGTAACCTAGAGAGCGCTGTACTAACATTTGCATCATGTGGAATATAGACAGCGGTGATAACTATCAAGAAATCTCTCTAGGTAAATAAAATGGCTGACAGGAGAGTTATAAATTCCATATCTGGAGAACAGTGTGTATAAATAACTCTGCTGTTACTACCAGTCATTATGTCTATAAATACAAAGCCCTCCATCTTTGCTTTTACTGGAGTTGCCATTTCTGTCGAAGCGGGATGTGGTGCTGTTAATTAGCTCCATTGACGCATCCGGTACAAGTGGATGAAGCCAGGTCTCTGTGATGCTCATCACAGAGCAATTGCAGATGAGTTTATTCATTGCCATCTATAGCTCTAGTTCATCAATTTTGTGGACAAAGGATTTAACATTGGTTATAAAAATGCTTGGTAATGCTGGTCTGTGAGGCTGCTTCCATAACTGAGCTAGCAAACCAGTTCTGCATCCTCGCTTCTGCTTCCGCTCTCTTTACTGTCTCCTAGGCCCAACAACAATCCATGGCTCGGAGCCCAGCAGTCTTACTATGTCACTCGGTATATTATTAGTTGACTACAAGATCCAATATTTAGTAACTCCCCCCCGGGTATAGACTAGTTTTTGCCTACACACTTCATTGTGACACCAGGAGCTCAAAGCCGCAGCACCTATGCACACTACCATCTTGAAGGGGGAAATGTTGTTTTCCATACTGTTTTCTTGGCAACAATTATCTCTGGGTTTTTTAAATGTTTTTTTCTTTTAACTTCCAAGTCTAGTTAACAGCCCTGGTATTCTTGTGCCATCCAAGAGCTAATCAAGCTTAATTTTGCTTAATCCCTGAGCCAAGATAAAGTCTGACAGGTAGTGTCACCTACTGAAATGAACAGAGAGAAGTGGGGAATGAACTCCACATTTTGAAATGTTCTAATTTGTCACATTTATATTATTACAAATCCATCAAAATAAACTTGCACCTACTCTTTAGCTTTTCCCTTTCACAAGAATAGGGCAATGCATTAGTATGGCCACGCTTAATATGTGTGTGTGTTTGTGTTTTTGTGTGTGTGTGTGCATGTGTATGTGTGACATAAAACTTGTAGGGAGTATTCTAGGATGAACTTCCTTTTCATTTACTTAATATTGGTATGTCATTTGTTTCATTTAATTGCTATATCCATATCTATACATTTCCATGAAGTTTTTTTTGGTGGGGGGGGCAGCTGTACTCACATTGAGGTGTGAATTTGTGACTGTGACAGTTGCCTGGAGTCCTAAGGAGATATTGGGCAGTGATGGAGAAGTGTATAGGCTGAGTTGGCTAGCTGATCCATCCACAGTAACAGCTTGGTGCTGGGGCAACATCTATATAAAATTAAAAGAAGGATTAGAAAGAAGGAGCAATAGATAAGACAATACAGATAAATAAGAATATGTCATATATAGCAAGAAGACGAAAGACTTGTTATTCTCCCAGTTCTTTAATGTGACCTCATTAACAAGGCAAGGCAGAGCAGAGATGTATCCTGGGATATAAAAGCTGAAAATAATTATTTTCTTATTTTATATATATTATATTGAAGAAGCAAAATAATAAATAGCCGAGGGATCGATGTCCCTGAATGTTGTTTAATATGCAGTCTGGAAACCTGTGGCTATGCTGGCCAGGAATTATGGGATTTATAGTCTAAGACATCTAGCCAGGCAGAGTTGGTAAGACCGTGACCCGTCAAAACCGCGCTCGACTAAACCGCGCCCGATTAAACCGCGTCGCTGACGTCATCAACAGGGCGACAACAGCCAGCGCAGAGAAAGAAGGGCGCTTTAAATAGCGCTTCGAAAGCAAGCTGGTTCAACTTAAGGTAAGGGTTAGGTTTAGAGTTAGGTTAAGGGTTAGGGTTAGGTTTAGGGTTAGGTTAAGGGTTAGGATTAGGTTTAGGGTTAGGTTAAGGGTTACGTTTAGGGTTAGGTTAGGGGTTAATTTTAGGTTTAGGGTTTACAGCGTGTTTCTGTCTCCGCGCTGTTGTCGCCCTGTTGATGACATCAGCGGCGCGGTTTAGTCGGGCGCGGTTTTGTGGTGGAACCGGTAAGACTAGTATAAGAATTTTCTCTTCAATTATCTGATAATCAGAGCAGATTTACATGTGCTTGATAATCAAATATTAACCCAGTAAGAAATTATAGTTGTGATACAAAAACTCATCAATAAAACGAAGATTAATACTCCCCAATTCTTTTCAGAGAAACTTATCCACCAAGGAAACCAAATTAATATCTGTGTCAAAACTAAATTTGGACTGGATTGGATTTCTAATCCATATACAGTCATACGGCTGCATTTCCAGGCAGCTGGGACTCTGAACTTGTAAAGAGGTATTCACTGCTTTCTTTTTTGCTTTTAATCCTTGGACACATGAAAGAGGACACAAGTTACATTCCTCCAAATATTTTGTTCAATCTTGGTTCTGCCTCAACAAATCCCATCAAATTAGACTTTTTGGATTATTCTTACAACTCCATCAGTAATGATGTGATATTCCAGCAGATAAATATAATTGTTTCTAAACTGTGTTATAAACTTGTCACAAGACCATTACTGGTACATGTCTGCTAATATTAGATTTTAGTATCTTATCCGCTGGGCTGAACAACTATCAAAGGTGCAATGAAGACCATTTTGTCTGACTCCATCCTCTTTCACCCTTTCCCCTCTTCTCTACTGCAGTTGGCCTGGTTGCATACTATCTGCCACTAACACTGTAGATCTTTTCTTTTTCTTTGGGTGCTTTACCACTGTAAAGTGAATGATACATTGGGAGTAAATGATGGTATCATTTTAAAGATAAAATTATAGTATATTTCAATTTGATGTAAGGTAGAATGAAAGCCTTACTTGCGTATGCACATATACACACAGACATACATATGCTCTGTTTCAAACTGTTATATGTACATTAACTGTATAATTGCCCTGCAGTATTCCCACATAGTTCTGCTAGCTGGACTGTTTCTGCCTCAGGATGTTAGATATTAAGTAATTAAATTTCTCATATATATTTTTAAGAAATCTCTCCATAGACCTAGATGATGATGAAGATGATATTATAAGCGTATTTCAAGCCAGAAATAGGTGTTTGGACAAGCTTAAATGATATTGCTCTTTACAATGTTGAAAAGCGGATCTGTCCACCAGGTGGTGCTTTGTTTTGTAACAGTGGGAAAACACTCTTTAGAAGTCTGCTGGGGAAAGGAACTGTCATGTAGAAAGTAATGATTGGCTCTTTTGCATTGCAGCTCAGCCCAATGCAGTCCAGCAGAAGTCAAGGGGAGAAAATTGCATTGAGCAAGCGAGATAATAGAAATACCCACAGAATTTTCCCCACAGAAGCAGAATAAATGTAAGTGAAAATCAGAAGAGAATATCTAGCTATGCTTTTCACAGACAAAACCATTTCTCTCTTCAGGGAACTTTCAGATTGTTACAAGAAGCCTGGCACTGTCCATATAAATACTGCATAGAATCACATACTTCTCTTGGAAAAGAGAACAAAAGCATTTAAAAATGTTTTTTTTTCAACAGGCTTCCTATCACATTAAAAGCTTTTATTAAAGAGAAATAGTCAAGTGTGAATTTGCTGCTCTTCTTCATCCTTTCCAATGAGCCTCAGCCTTTCCTCTTGTTGCTGCCTTATCAGTTCTGGGACGATATTGGCTCACATATCTGGCCTGCATATATGTTAAAAACAACAGCATGCATTGGGGGTGCCATTTCCCAGTTGCCCCTTTCAGATGCATATCTCTGTTAAATATCCTACTTTGCTTTAGGATATTGCACCCTGTTTTGGATATCCCACTTTGCCACATTGCTATAGCTTCCTTTGGTCTGTATCCAATTCAGTGGGCTCCCATACCCCAGAGGGCCCAGCCTCCCTGGCTTTTAAGCAACCCTAGTTTCCTGTCACACTCTTCCCAGGTCTACTGCTGCTCCTTATTACCAGGAATAAAATGATACTTTCCAATGAGTCTCAGCCTTTCCTCTTGTTGCTGCCTTATCAGTTCTGGGACGATATTGGTGCACATATCTGGGCCTGATCCCATTTCAGGTTGGCCTTCCTGCTTTGGCTTATATATTTAGAGTGGGCACTTGCTTCTTCCAATGTAGGAATCTGTTCAACTAGAGAAACTGACCTTTCTATTTGACTTATATTTGTGAGTTTAGTACATGCTGTGGTATTGGGTCTGGTTTCATCAACCAGCACAGTGTTTAATTTTTGCAAGGGCGAAACTCACTTCCTTTAAGAGCCCAGAGGTTAGAATGTGTTAGGATGCAGTACTGCAGGTCACTGCTCATTCCGGGAGTTTGATTCTGAGCTGGTTGATTCAGCCTTCTATCCTTCAGAGATTGGTAAATGAGGCCCCAGATTGTTGGAGGCAATAGGCCGACTCTGTAAGCCACTGAGAGGGGGCTGTAAAGCACTATGAAGTGGTATATAAGTCTTAAATGCTACTGCTTTCACATTTTGGCTTGCGTATATGTTATAAATCACTGCATTCAAAGGGGGTGCCATTTGCTAGTTGCCCCTTTCAGATGTATATCTCTGTTAGATATCCTACTTTGCTTTAGGATATTGCGCTGTGTTTTGGATAACTCACTCTGCCACCACATTGCCATAGCTTCCTTTAGTCTATATCCACTTCAGTGGGCTCCCAAATCCCAGAGGACCCCCTGATCTTTAGGCAACCCACCCACCAATAGACCCTTGTCTATTGTTACTACAGGAAACTAGTAGTCCTAGTTTGCTATCACTCTTCCTGGGTCTGTTGCTGTTCGTTATTACCAGGAATAAATTACAGTTCTCCTTAAATTCAAGTTGTTTCCACCCTTCATTGCCATCTGTTCCATCATAACCACCATGATCATCCTTATACCACCACATTCAGCTGCTTTGCTGCAAGGCTTTTATTGCTGCTGTTTGCCAAGCCAGATTGGCTGCCTAGGGAAGAGGCAGGGCACCATCAGTCCAAGGTGATCTCAGGTAGCCTGCCAAGATAATCTTAGCCTGCCCATTCATAGTGATTAAAAGAATTGAAATTTCTATTATGTTATTACCTAAAAGAGACTTGTAATGAAATATATTGTAGATTTAACTTCCAAGAAAATTCTCTAGAATGTATAAAGCTACTTCAAACATGTTGAAAATGAAGGGTCATTCTATTATGTATGGTGGACTTATAAAAAAGCCTGAAATTTGTAGGTTTAAATACATATAACGACACAAAGAATTGTAAAATTAAAGGCACTTTTTTCTTGAAAAGGTAACCAGACTGTTTTTTCCTTGAGGAGGAAGATGTTTTATTTCGCACCCTAGAAACTTCATCAGTTCTGATGGTGAAGGGAATGGATGAATAGGTACTGAGAATTGAGACAGGATGGTGGGAGGGTAGGTTCTCATAGGATGTGGTGGTGGTGGGGAGATGATGGAAGGATTGTATTCTCTGAGAGCTGTTGAGGCCACTTGAGTGGTTATATGTGGCTTCAGGGTTACCTGAATCAGGGTGCAATTGATTGTTGAATGTTCTTTGAACTGTTGCAAGGGCAGAATTGTAAACTGGAGAGAGGTGATGTCTTATTGTTCTGCCTCTGTTGAGGAAGAGGTATTTAATTCTAACCCTCCTTCAAACAAATGGTCCTTTTTATCCGAAATGTGGACTTTGCTGTCTTCAAAAGAATGATTCTTTCAGTTGCAAATAGGTCTGCTGAAACTTGTCCTGATGGGTTTGATCTCTTATATTGTACTATGTGCTTGTGAAGTGGTTGTTTGTTTCACCAATGTACAAATCTGCATATCATTACTCAATTTATGTCTGGCTGTTTTATCCTGGGACTGGACAATCTCTGCCTTAATGTATTATTGGCTTTAAAGTGAACATATATATTGTGTTGAACTGAACATGTCAACATTATGTTGTGTTGAATTTATTGTGTTGAACTGAAATCAGAACTTTTCCTGCTAGGATTAATGGACAGTCAAGTAGAAAAGAGCCATGGATATGCCACACATATTTTTATATATGATTACTATTGCAAGGCTATTATATGCACAAAAATAGAAATGCTCTGAAATAGCCACAGCAAAGGGATGGTTGGTGAAGAATTAGTGAGATGGCAAATTTAACTTATTTGATTAAAAATAAATAACTACATTTATCAATAATTGGAAAACCCTGGTAGACATTTTAATGAAAAAAAAGAAAAAATGATTTTCTGATTTATGTGTTTGAGGATTAGTATGCGTGGACTACGGAAATGATAGTTGGTCTTACCTGAACTGCATTTCTCAGGGTCTTGTGGGAGGAGGCATCAATGGGTTATTCTCACATCTAATTTGCCCTGAGACTGAGGTTAAATTCGAGGCCATGCCTCCTGCTTGAGGCTGTCGGTCTATGGAGAATTCTGGACAAGGAAAAAGGTAGGGAAGACACACTACCTACCCCCCAATCCTGACTAGTCAGAGATAGCCAAGACCAGCATGGGTCAGGACCCCTAACTGAAATGGCATCCTAAAACTGGGTGGGAGCTGATTCCTCCCACAAGACTCCGAGAAATGCAGTTCAGGTAAGACCAACTGTGATTCTCCAGAGTAGCTTGTAGGAGGAGTCATCAATGAGACATACCAAATCTGGTGTCCAAGGGAGGGCAATCATTGGTCCTGAATCCCCCAAGTGTCCAGCACTCCCTGCAACTCCCTCCTACCGAAGGAAGCCTCAGCAGAAGCATATGCATCCAACTAGTAGTGCCTTATAAAAGGCAACGGGGAAGCCCATATGGCCACCCTACAGATATCCTCAATTAGCATCTGGGTTGACCAGGCCACCACCCTGGCCACACCCCTAGTAGAGTGTTTTAGTTTAGTTTAGTTTTATTAGTATTTGTAGGCCGCCCTTTTCCCTGAGGGGAAAAGTGTGCATAATTCCAGCCAGCACCGTAAGCCTTCAAGCTTCATAAGGTCTGGTGATTGTTAAGGTAATCCACCTACCGATGGTAGAGGGTGACACCCTTGCCCCCAGGGTAGATGGCTGGAAGGAGATTGCCTCCGACCTTCTGAAAGGAGAAGTGCGCCTCAGAGCCCTCCTGACATCCAAGCAATGCCAGGAACACTTCCTCTCCTGGAAGGCACTAGACAGAAGTCCGGTAACACCACATCCTGAGCCCTATGGAATGGGAAGTTTACTTTTGGCAAGAAGGAAGGGTACAGTCTGAGGACGCCTCTATTGTCATGAAACATACACAGGTCAGCTGTGGATGATAATGTGCTGATTTCAGAGATACAGTATGTCTGGCGGATGTAATTGTCACCAGGAAAACCACCTTAAGAGTGAGAAATTGAAGGCTCACCCTGTCTCAAAGGGAGCCTCAGCCAGTGCCTGAAGGACTCTGGGCAGATATCAGATTGGGAACTGGTGAATCACTGGGGGCCTAAGATTTGATGCCCCCCTGAAGGAACCTCTTCATAACCAGGTGTTGAGCCAAGGAGCGAGAGCCCACATCCCCTAGGATGGTGGCCAATGCCACCATCTACCTACGGAGAGTGCTATGAGAAAGACCTTTCTCAAGCCCATCCTGGAGGAATTCCAAATCTGCGGAGCTGCTGCCCTTGCCAGCTTCACTTGCACAGATCGGCACCATGACACAAAGGAGGATTACGTAGCATTGTAAATGTGAATAGTGGATTGCCTCCTTGAAGCCTCAATAGTCCTAATCATCCTGGCCAAGAAATATGTCACTCTCAATTGTTCCCGCTCAAGTGCCAAGTGGTCAACTGAAGCCATTAGGGCTCCGGATGGACCAGGTCCCCCTGACACAGAGCTATCTCTCCCCATGGAATCCTCCAATGGGGAGATATAGACAGACCCATCAGGTCTGCAAACCAAGGCTTCCGGGGCCAATAGGGAGCTACCATGATCACCTCCGTCCTCTCTATCATTAACTTCCTCAGAATTCTCGGGAGGAAGGGGAAGGAAGGCATAGAGGAGACCCGTTGTCCATCTGCAATGAATAGTGTTGACATCCACAGCTCTGTGAGATGGAAACCGGGAGATGAACCTCTGGACCTGTGTGTTTGCTGGTGTGGTCTGCCGAACCTCTGGCAAATCTTGGTAAAAATGCTGAGATGCAACTGCCACTCCCCGTGGTCCACGGTCGCCCTGCTGAGCCAGTCAGCTTGCTGGTTCTCCATTCCCAAGATATGTTCCACCCTCAGCAAGAAAAATGTCATTCTGCCCAATTCCCCAGCCTCACTGCCTGGTCTCAAAGAGCCAGCGAGTGGGTGCCCCCTTGCTTATTGACATGGGCCTTGGCAGCGATGTTGTCCGTCAGGACCAGAACATGTTGTCTTTCGACCTGCACCTTGAAGTGGCGCAGGGCCAGGTGGACTGCTCTGAGCTCCAGCCAACTGATATTTTTCTGAAAGTCCGAGGGCAGCCAGCAGCCCTGGGCCAGTTGTGAGTGAGCCCCCTAACTGAAGAGACTCACAGCTATTGTTAGAACCAACCTGTCCAGCTCCCTGAACAGGGAGCCCTGTCCAACGCCAAGGATGTCCACCAATGGAAAGATAGGAGGACCTGAGATGGCACATGGATCTTGAAGTTTGCATTATTGGTTCCATCCCTCTGATGAGGAAGTATCAGCCACTGCAGCTTCCTGGCATGGAGGTGGGCCCATGGGACAACCACGATGCATGAAATGAACTTTCCCAGGAGCTGAGACAGAAGAACTATGTGAACAGAATGTGCCCTGTGAATCTGCTTAATCAATTGAATTATACTATCCTTATGGTCCAGGGAAAGAAATATTTCACTCTCCACTGTATCAATGACAGCCCTGTATCAATGCTGAAGTCTAGTGGCGGGGTCTAGATGACTCTTCTCAAAGTTAACCGAGAATTCTAGAATCTGCAATGTCGTGATCATGCTTCTATGATATTCTTTGGCCAGATTCGCTGCCACTGCCTGGACCAGAATATCATCCAGATAGCACTGCAGGCAGAATGGAACGGACCATAGGTGTCCTGCTACCACCACTAGCACCTTAGTAAAGGTGTGGGGAGTTGATGCACAGGCCAAAAGGAAGAGCCCTATATTGATAACATCCAGGGAAGTGCCAAACAACTTCTCACCAGAATACTCAGCCGCCGCCACTTGGATCCACTGCCAACTGTGCAACTACAGGAGATGCTTGGAAGCAACTGAAGAAGAGAGGGCTCTAGAGGCATACTTAACTGCGTCTAGTATGGCATCCACCAAAAACTGAGCATCCGCCATCAGCTTCTTTATGTCCTGCAGAAGGCGCACATCTGAAGAGGTGGCTCTCTCCCACACCTGTTCAAACCAAAGCAGTGTGGTTCTATTGAAGAAGGAAGTGGTCGCCTTGATCGTCCAAACCACAGTCTGGAAGGTGTTGTAGAGAAGCAGTTCTGCCTTCTTATCCCCCACTTTGACAGTGTTGGCGGTCATCTGTCACCACTGAAGAAGAAGAGGCGAGCGCGGCCACTGGAGAATCCACCGAGGGAATCTGCAAGGCTTGTGCGAAGGAAGACTCAAGATTATAGATCTTGATTATAATCTTCCTTCAAGGTTATCGAAGAAGGCCTGTGGGGTGAGTATGATCTGCATGGTGAGGGGCTAATACTGTCTCTTGAATGCCTCGCAGCAGCTATGGTGACTCTCTTTCCAGGCTCCTGCTGCTTGCTGGCACCCCCTTTCCTGGAGGACTTGGAGGTGCTCTTCTTTGCAGGGGCCCTCCCTCTCACCAAAGGGGCAGCTCCCCGAGATGTCCCCTTGCCAGGATTAGAATCACCGGGTGATCCAGGATCAGCTGCTCCAATGTGTCTCATGGCAATCCGCCATCTTGCGCCGCCCTCCCCTTGTAAGTATTCAAGGCCAAAAATGCTGCCTAACCACCTCCGATCTCCTCCCTGCCTTTCAGCTGGCTGGGGCTGCTGTCGAGTGGTTCACAGGTCATTTGAACCGGCGCGCCCTCTCAAAATGGCGCTACTGATCCATGACTCGATGTCTCTGCTCCCCTGACCAGCTGGAGGCCATCTCCAGAACCATGGAGGAACTCTTGTCTCTCCAGTGCCCACAGGCATTCACAGTGGCCCAGGACCACCAGCAGTGAGCTGAAAAGGAGCGCCGTTCCTCGCGCTCCGGCCATGTGCATCTCCTCCAAGCTGCTGCCCAGCTCAAAATGGCGACCACCAACCATGCAGTCCTATGCCGTGAGTGAGTTCCGCTGAACCACTCCTCCAGGGGCCCTCAGTGAATCCCTGTGACCCCCTCTATGGAAAAAGGGGTCGCAGCTTCCAGTGCCCTGCAGCGCGCAGAACTGGAGCCCCACTACAACCGTCCAGAGGTTCGGCAGCTCCTCACACACAGCAAAGCACAGCTTATGCTCAAATACACACACACTAAAGGAGAGGAGGTGGGAAGAGTTAAGGGTGAAAAAAAACAAACACTCAAGTCCAAAACCGAAGAGCCAAGCAAAACAGTTCTCTATTGGACTGAGACTAAACTGGGCCAAGCAGGAGGAAGTAGAGCGGTGTGACCTCGAATTTAACTCTGAGCAGATTGGACGTGAGAATAATCCATCGATGACTCCTCCCACAAGCTACTCTAGAGAAGAAGGAAATTATAATGTAACCTTAGAGAGAGAGATTAAATAAAATTCATTTATAAGTGTTAAAAAGATTGAAGCTGCTTCTTTATAAAAAATTTCCTTTTCAATTTCCTTTTCTGTTTTCTTTGTTTCAAATATTTATACTTTTTATCTTGTTAAAAATTGTTCTGTAAAAATTACAATGTATGTATGTATGTATGTATGTATGTATGTATGTATTTGTAGATTTTCACGGGTGTAGGTATGCTGGTCTTGTTGTATTCGGGTCTTTTCCCATATAAGATTGAGATTGTCTTGGCAACGTTTCAGTGAGGACTTGGCTTAGGAAAGCAGTAAGAGATGTTCTACCCCATTGCTACTCTCACATTTAATCTGTGAAGCTAAAATAATGACAGACCACATCTACTGGGGAGACCCAGATGAGCGCAGCCATCTGAGCCTGGATTTCTGCCCCAAGTCAACACATTATTTAAAACAACTAATAGTGGAATAAATATGTACAGGTAAACAAGAAAAGAAACAAAGCAGCATATCACAGCAGGTAGCAACACTCTTTCACTAGCCTTACCTCAGTATGTATATTAGGCACTGACCCAGTAAGCCCATTTTCTGTGATGGCGCAGTTGGAGCTATTTGGGGAACTTGGGCCAGATCCAGGAGCACTGTTGCACATTGAAGACACTGCAATGAAAGTGGGGGGAGGGGTTGCCAGAATGTCAGTCCTCCGCTGAATTAAGATGCTCTTGTGCCCAAATAGGCTATTGAAAATTTCACTTTTTATTTTGAAGCAGAATCAAGTGTCAACTCACATGGTAGCAAAAAAAATATTAGAAAAATGTAAAATTCACTCATTGGTTTGGCTTTCCTTTCTAAGAGAACAAAGCACCAAAGAATGTTCACGTAATAAAGAAATATCATCATGCTACACAACATACAATTTACATAAGCTGCATTAAAAAATCCCTAGCTCCATGTTTCTAGTTCACAAGGCTATTAACTGAACAGCTGTCTCAACTGAAAGCAATTATTCCAAACAATATTCCCTCAGTCTTCTTTTATAAGATTTATTGAAATGAAAGGATACCATTATAGAATTTCAGTGACTAATGATTCCAAATTTTCCCTGTATACATATATACATGTGGATGGAGATTTTCTTAGTCTCTTTCTAACAGTTTTCCAATGAACTGGTGAGGAAATAGTTCTTTTCACTAATAATCGAGAATCTTGCAGGTGGCTATTTATAAGTTAGCTTCCTGAAATTGACTATTACCTCTATTTGTAATTCTGTAAACTATAAACTATTACCTCCATTTGTGATTTTCTAATCAAAATGTTTAGATTTCCTTGTTTTATCAGAATTGGTTAAAAAAGAGAAGGATGCAAGACATGATTCCACCACACAGAAATGAATGCCCCTAGCTTAGTCTTTGACATTTCAAATTCACCTTTCTACATCAACTATAAATACAGAAGTGAAACAAAGAGAACTCTCTAGTTTCCAAGAAGGAGCCTCAGGTTGCTAAGAGCTTAAATGCCAACCTTCTATACTCCCCCTTTTCCCAGTTAAAATAAAAATTTATTCAGAATTTTCTACAACGCCAACAGCTTAAATGCCCACCAAATAAATTGCCACTACCTAGATTATCAGTGATACATCTAAAATGAATGCATTATATAGGGTTCACCGACAAATGCGCGATTGACAAAAGTATGCTGACAAAACCGCGGCGAGAAAACCACAAGGTTGAAATCGCGCCAACGAATGTGCGCAAAAGCGCACAGAAGTGTGCTGACAAAAGCGTGCCATCACAAAACAATGAAAACAACTTAATAACCCTAATCCTAACCCTTAACTTAACTTAGATCGCGCTTTTGTGGGCACGGTTTTGTTGGTGCGTTGTGGGTGCATTTATGACATCGCGGTTTTCTTGCCGCGGTTTTGTCGGCACGCTATTGTCGTGCGCGCATTTGTTGGGTCATGATTATATAGTATATTTACTTATTCCTGAGCTTTTTCAATCTGTTCTTAGGCTTACCTATCCCTCCTCTTAGACTGCAATATATTTAAGAGGTCTTTGAATAATTATCACATTACTGAGAGTTATGTCATAATACTATTGGCTCAAGATTAAACTAAAAATATTCAAACATTTCTTCCTCTTTCATGTTTTTTTTAAAAAAGAAATGCTATAATTCTGACATTCATATTTTCTGGCCTCAATTATTGTGCTCCCTTTTGACTAGATTTCTAGTCATATCCAAATTCATGATGCAATAATGTATAAGTAATAAAATTTAATTAGTATTAGTTATTAGTTGGAATTTGATACCGTGTTTGTCAGGCATGCCTAATATAGTATGAGAATTTAGCCATGATTAATATACTTTATAGTTTAGTTCAAATTTATTTTTGAGTCTCATTAAAATCTCTAATATACCTGAAAAAATCCATAAGTGAAAAGTAAAATGAAAATGACAGAAAAATAAACTAGAACTAGCCAAATAAAGAAAAATTATTTTAATTCTCTGAAAAATTAATTCAACTTTGATTTCATCTTCTTCACCACCAATCCATGTTAAAATAAAAACATGGCTTCATGTCATCACAATGTAATTTAAGCAGAGTGCTCTTAGCTAAGCTATCACTGCTCAATGAATATAGTTTAAAATAGAAAACTCCATCTTTCAAGCAGAAGAGAGAGGAAAGTGGGAGGAAATTGTACAAGGCTCTCTATTGTTCCATTCTTTAGGAAAACAAATGATTGTTTTATCTATTTTGCCAAATTTCTTCTTTAATTGCAATGTTTTGACCTCCAGTATCCTGTTCCATCAAACACTTTGTAGCATACAGAGTATACCAGAGCACACTTTTAGTTTTTTATCAGTCATTTTTCTCCCTTCTTGACATACTTGCGGGGAGGACTGAAGAATGAAATGTTTCATCCACCTTTTTAAAAAAGCAAATGATACTTAGCTGGGCTAATGTCCTCTCTCACCTGTAATTTCAATTGCTCGTTTTTTGAAGGTGCTGATGACTGTCCCATCTTTCCTCCGCAACAGAGGACTGCTTCTTCTCTCTGCCACCTTCTGTTTTAATCGTGAGCGCACTTTTAAATTGGGTTCTGAGGCTGAAAGGAAGAGGCAGGCAAGAATGAAAACTAAGGTCCCTAAACTAAGTTGACTGAAATAGACTTAGGCAAGAAAGCAAATTGTAGTGAAGAGAAGTAGCTAATTGCATCTTCATTTACCAGATCAATCATACTGCTTCAAGAAAGAGTGACCTTTTTTATAAATATATTTATTCTCCATTTCTGAAACATAACAATAAAACATTAATTCCCAATACAGTATCTTCTAATTCTACCAAATGCCAGCCACCATAGCTAAATGTCAAAGTCCATGATATCTAGACTCGGAATGACTCCAAAAAGAAATAAAGAATTTAAGCAGAAAGTAGTTGTCCTCGTCCTCCTCCTTCTTCTGGAAAGTACTCTACATAGACAACTTTTTCCATTCAGCTCTTATGTCTTTTTAAAAGACTAAGTAGACCCCTGTTGGGTCAAGCTTATGATCCATTTAATCCATTCATTAGCTATCCAGGTGCATTCAGGAAGTTCATAAACAAAGACAGAAGTGTTGTTGTCTTCTTCCCCTATTGCTAACAGCTGTCTGGGATTACAAAAGTAGTAAATAGCTACCAGGACTAGCAGCCATGGACAGTTGATCTTTTATAAATTTGTTCAGTCCCCTTTGAAAACTTAGTGGCCATTATACCATCTGATTACTGCAAATCCCATGGTTTTGCTACATACCATTTCTACATGTTGAAAGTATATAAAATCACACAATGCTAAATGAACTATTAACTATTATTCAGATCTTATCACTTTAGAGACTATAACATAGAAATTGGCTAGTTTCTCTGTACCACCTTTTCAAGATCTTAATTTTTTCAAACTGTGTATTTTTTACTTGTAACCACGATCTTGCCAAGATTCAAATAACCACAAAATATACTAGCAGACTGAGAGTGGGGAGAACCACTAGATAGTTAATAGCTTCTCCAATAAAAAAGATGAAGAAGTGATGGGAAAAAATTCTTTACTGACTTAAGACCTTAGATACCGTACATGCTGCCAGTCACTAGGTTAGGAAGACAAACAGTCAGACTTGGCATAAGGCAGCTTCCTATGTTCCTAAAATTTCCTGATTTCACATAGCAGCTGGGCTGGTTTTTTCCAACTTAGTTTGACTGTAAAAAAAGCTTTTGCAAAAACCAGCTGAGCTGTTACACAATTAGCATCTAAACAGCTGATTTCTTGCAAGGGAACACTGATTGCATCTAAATATAGGCTGTTTGTTAAGTCAGTCTTCACAGTACATTTATCCAGTTCTGTACTGTAAGTTTAGAATTCATGTCATAATAATATTTTAGCAGAATGAGAATTTGGTATGTGAGATTGATTTTCAGCCAGAAGTTGAGCTTTTCACATTATTGTATAACACACTTGAATGAATATTCTTAATTTGTAGTTCATCAGATTAAATCAATTTTTCTTTCCTTTGCTCTATCAGCACTAGCCATTGTCTTTACAAGCTAATACATTTAAGGTGCAGAAAGCCATTCAAATTGACCCTCTCCTCTTTTTTTATTCTTCAACTATTGGTTTTTACTAACCAGTTTTCCGGAGTGGAAAGTCATCTCTGCTATCATAAGTGCCAAGTAAAGGTAGTTTGCAAGAGGCTGGTGTTCCCGGGCTTCCTGTCTGGGGAGGGGAACTCTGGTCCAATGAGGTATGATGAGCCCCCCTGCACAAATCAGAAAAAAATCCCAGGTTTATTTATTTATTAAGAAAATTTACATGGCTGTCCAACTCACTCTTGGTGACTCTGGGTAACTTACAAAGAAAACCAATAACCCCACCATCATCAAGAGTTAAATCAAGATGTTTGTACACTAATCGGCATACAGCATACAAGTAATGTCAGTCACATACTGCCTCATTTAGCAATCATTCCGAGTTACAATAGTGTAAAAAAACCACAACCAAACAATTGTCTAATCAATCTTCAAATTTATGAGTCGCAGCACCCCACAATCAAGAGGTCACCATTTCTGTACTTTGCAACAGAGATAATGAAGAAAGTGGAAGTAAATTGTAAGGCAGTCAATGATTTTCTACAGTGACCATAGCGCTTAGCAACTTACTCATAACACTTGTGGTGGCCAAGCGAGGACAACCTCTGCTTTTTCCAAAAATATCTTTCTGCTTTCTCCATTCATATTGGATTGCATTTTTACCTTATAGTTACTTGGCATTTCTTTAAATTTCACTGAATGAAAAGGGCAATCAGAGCAAAGTATATTCAGTAGTGAAAGGCCACTAATAAAGATGGATGCAGTTATCATTCATTTTTTCATCTTACTTGTTTTTTCTGTGTAACCTGAAATTCTTCTACCCGTATTTTTCAGAAAATAAGACCCACCGGAGTATAAGACACACCAAGGTTTTGAAGAGGCAATTTAAAAAAAAAGTAAGTAGATAGATAGAGGAAGAGATAGGGAGAGAAAGAGAGAGAAATACAGTAGGTAGGTAGATAAAGGGATAGAGAGAGAGAGAAATAGAGAGAGAGAGTAGGTAGGTAGGTAGGTAGGTAGATAGGTAGGTAGGTAGGTAGGTAGAAATAGAAAGAGAGAAAAACAGTAGATAGGTAGGGAGAGAGAGAGTAGTTAGGTAGGTAGATAAAGGGATAGAGAGAGAGAGAAATAGAGATAGAAAAATACAGTAGATAGGGATGGAGGGAGAGAGAGAGTAGGTAGGTAGGTAGGTAGCTAAAGGGATAGAGAGAGAGAAATATAGTAGATAGGTAGGGAGAGAGTAGTTAGGCAGGTAGATAAAGGTATATATAGAGAGAGAAATAGAGATAGAGAAATGCAGTAGATAGGGATGGAGGAAGAGAGTAGGTAGGTAGGTAGGTAGGTAGGTAGGTAGGTAGGTAGGTAGGTAGGTAGGTAGGTAGGTTAGGTAGCTCAAGGGATAGAGAGAGAAAAGTAGATAGGTAGGAAATGTGTGTAGGTAGGTAGAGAGACAGATAGAGAGAAATAGAGATAGAGAGAAATACAGAAGATAGGTAGCTATTTTTGCTGGCACAGCACTTGACCAATGTAATTCTCATCAATCAATTAAAGAGCTTTCCAAAAGGAAAAAAAAAGTTTTTGCACTCTGCAAACCTCCCAAAAAAGACCCATTTTTCACGAAAATGAGCCCATTTTTTTTCCAAAAAAAGGCTTGAATAGCCTTGGTGGGGCTTGCAGAGTGCCCCGAGGGGGCCCTCAAAAAAGAGCAAAAAAACGGCCTGTTTTTCAATAAAACGGGCCCGTTTTTTTGTCAAAAAAATTGAATGCATAGCCTTATAGAGACTTATAGAGGCTTATAGAGTGCTGCTGGGGGGTGGGGGTGCAAAAAGCCCTGTTTTTGTTCATTTCTGCCCTCCCCAGCCCCCAGGAGCTCTCTGAAAGCCTCCATAAGGGTATGCACGGCCATTTTGATGAAGGGGGCAGGGCTGCGGGAGACAAAAAATGCTGTATTCGGTGTATAAGACGCACCCAGATTTTCAGCCTCTTTTTTGAGGAAAAAAGGTGAGTTTTATATTCTGAAAAATACGGTACCTTTCGATTCAACTTTGATGAAAGAGTTCTGTAATATCAGAATGCTCATTAACCCTACCATTTTGAGATGAAAATGGTATCATGATTCTTAAATTTGAAGTAAAAAGGAAGATTGGAAGGAAGATCATAGTAATCTTTATGTTTTCCATTTCCATTTCCCATTTTGGCTGGAGAATGATCACTGATTTTGTATAATAATACAGATCTTCAGCCCAAAATTTAACTGGTTATTTGATCAATATTAATACCATTTCATCAAGCAACATAGAGTATCCATTTGTCATTAGAGCTTAAACCACTACATCAAATTCAGTCTGAAATCTATGGCCTTTTCTATGAAATAGCAATTCAAAGAAAAAATTCTGAAAGCTACTTGATAGTAGAAGCATGAAAATAAGTACAGGCATAACTGGGTAAGACTGGAAAGGGCTTAGTGATATTTCCAGTAAAACTGCTAGTTTAGCTGAGAAATGGATTTGACCAGATGCTATACAAATTAGATGAAGATGTACTATTGTTGTGAACAGAAAAGGAAGTAAAAAGTGTCTCACGCTTCCAATTCCCCCACAATTCATTATCCAAAAATAGAATTTGCTTTTGCATGCACAGACATATACATATATACACAGAAGAAACACACAAGCTGGCATACTGGTGAGGGAACTGTGAAAACGCTATTTTGAGCGAGATGAATGAATGAACTACCTCCCACCATAATATAATTATGTAAATATAATTATTTGCTAAGGAAGAACCCAAGAAATACAGTTAAATTTAGAGAAAATTGAGTCCTTGAAAATGAAAGACATATTCCTATTCTTTCCTATTGCCAGATATACTGAGCAAATATCAGTTGCATACTGGCTGTATAGCTCTTCCATGTTTGTGATTGAAGTATTTGTTCTAGATCTGAAACTCAACTCTATGCACAGCCTGTCCTAAATTAGACTTAGTTGAAAATTCTAGAGCAGGGTTTCCTCAATCTTGGCAACTTTCAGGTATATGGATTTCAACTCCCAGAATTCTGTAGCCAGCATGCTGATTAGGAAATTCTGCGAGTTGAAATCCATACATTTTAAAGTTGCCAAGATTGAGAAACCCTGTCCTAGAGACAAAGGAAAGACTTACCAGCATTTGGGATGCTGGGAGAGGGAATGATTCAAGCCACCCACTGTAGTTGGCTCTTTTGACTTGCTGAGAAGGAACTCTTGAAGTTTCAGCTTCACTTCAGTGCTTGCAATAGCACCTTTAAAAATTATAGAAAAACACTGGTAGAAAACATTAAAGGCAAGTTGAGATGTTATCTCCCTTCCCTAACCTGGGGCTATGCAAATATGTGACCTTCAATTCTCACAAGTATGCCAGTGAAATGTGTTCAGGGACACTACTCTTCTTATCTTGTATTTCAGGCTAAAAACCTATTTTTAAAACCCAGCATCAATCAAGCTTACAAACTGGAGGGAAATCCACTTTTCCTAAGCACACTGGCAAGAATTTTTATCACATCATCTTCACATATTCCTGAAGAATTCCATCACAGAGTTACATTTACTGTATTTTTTAAATCATTCTTTATTCAGTTATTATGAGGTGGAGGTTACAACACAATATTGAAGAGCCAAGCCAGACACAGTATAACATCCAAAAATGCCTGAAATTTTATTGTCTTTAAGCATGTTATACAATCCCAAATCAGGGGTACGTCCCTTGAGGTTTGCCATTGAGATCTCTCAATTCAGCCCATCCCCATGTTGCTGTTGACACAGATAATTGTAAGTTGTCAAGAGCTTAGTCATGCTGGAGAAAAGTGGTAAAACTGTCCATCCAGAGTGAAAAAGAATTTGCATATGTTTTATGACTGTACATAAATGCATTTATGTGCCTGTGTATATGCAAGATTAACTACAGGTACAACCATGGGTGCTCAACTCACCATACATTGCCTCATTTAATCTTCAAAGGGAAAATGATTGCTCATCTTTGTTAAAAAATAACTCCCAAAGATTGCAGATTTGTGAAAAATCTGAAAATTAATTTGCAAAGAATCTCCATTTAAATATATATGGAGAGGGTGGTTGCGCGAGCGCCTGTTCCGCCCCCAGCTCACAACCTCACCATGCCCTGACCCAGCTCTCCCTGCAGGGACAGGGCACCGCTGCCACTGTACTCTTCTTCATAGGGCCCACAACCATAGAGCGCACTCCTAGAGCGGCCGCTGCTGGAAGAATTGGAAGCTGAGTTCCGGAGTTTGGAAACCGGAGAAGAAGTTATGCTCGGAGTGCGGTAGCGGCAGTGATGCCCTGGCCCTGCAGGGAGAACTGGGCCAGGGCATGGTAAGCCTGGGAGGCATGCGAGCTGGGGGCAGAACAGGCGTTCATGCAACCACCCTCTCCAGTTGGGCAGAACTCCATGCACTGACCTAGAGGGTATCCCGAATGTGCCAAGCCACAGGAGCTGGGGGGGGGGGCAGGCAGAGCACCATGTGGCTTGGCGCCTTAGGGATACCCTCTAGGTCAGTGAATGATGCTCTGCCTGGCTGAAGAGGGAGTTTGCCGGGCGGCTGCCCATGAGCATAGTAATCTCATGGCTGCTTCACCCCTGAGGCTGTGCCTGGCTCTTTGGGAGCCCGCTCGCAAAGGAACAACCATCTGGCAACCCCAAAACAATAAGCCCTCCCCTGATAATAAGGCCCAAGCCATATTTTGTGGGTCAAAAGAAAATAAGACCCTGTCTTATTTTCGGGGAAACACAGTATATTTAAACTCTACGATCCGAAAGGAAGTGCCATGACAAAGAAATCTAACCTTGGCTTAAAAGCCAAGTTCATTTATTTATCTACATCTTTATATTGCCAATATATTTGTGAGGACAATTTAATTATTTGAGTGGGTTTAGATCCATGCAGCTTGTTTTCAAATATGCTTTTCTATATAGTATTTTGGGAATAGGAGAATATAATCCTCTATCTCCTCTCTAGTTTCTTCTTCCAGTCCTTGAAATATAAACAGGATATCATTCCAATAAATGCAGTGCAATGCAATTAAAACTTATTACTTTCTTTGCTTTTCTCCTTGTTGCGTAAGATGAGTAACTGCTGCTCCAGACGCTGCTTCTCCAGCTCTTCTTGACGCTGTTGTTCTCGTTTACGCTGTTGCTCTAGTTCTTGTTGACGCTTTGCTGCCAACATCTCCTGCTGTTGCTGCAAAAAGGAATAGGCAGAGGGTCAATACCACCAAAGGCAATTGTGTACGTACTTGAGCTTACATTGTGCATGGATGTCACATACAAAATCCAAGCATGCATTTGCAGGTTACTGTGTGCTATTTTTCAAATACAGATTATAGCATCAAAGCTGGAAAATGTAAATTAATATTGTCATCGCCCATTAACAATTTCTCCCTAGCAGTAATTTATAAAACGTCTGAGTGATGGAAGGTTATAACATTTCTATTACTCAGTTAATCATCTGAGATCTTGCCCCCTGCTTTTCTAGCATTTGAAATAAAAAAAGATTATGCAAAAATAGTAATAGTAATGCTAGTGCTCTGCAATGTCCTTCAAGAGATCCATGTTTGCTTTTACATTGCTTTTGCAAAGCTATATTTGCATTTTGTAGTAATTTAGATTTCTCTTGATCTTATTGGCTTATGGTTTCTCTCTTGTATTGTTATCATCTATTATTTTATGATCTGTCAGCTGTTACTATCTTTTTTTAAAAAAAGAATTATGCTTCTTTCCTATTATTTCTGTGATTAGCTCTCTTACTAGACAAAATCAATCTTGGGCTCTGTATCTCTATGCTGTCCACAATGTAAATTTTTCATTTGTGTATTTATGCTCATGTAAGGTATTTCTGCCAAAGCCCAGGCCCTTCCTCTTTCCATTCTCTAAGCCAGTGTTTCTTAACCTTGGCGACTTTAAGTCCTGTGGAAGTCCTGTGGAAGCTGGCTGGGGAATTCTGGGAGTTGAAGTCCACAGGACTTAAAGTCGCCAAGGTTGAAAAACACTACTCTAAGCTATTCTTTCCTAGTCTGGATATCTGTTGTCACTATTTAATTGTATTATGATAACCATACAAAAATAAATTTAGGTTTAATACACACACCAAAAGCATTCTAAAAATATTGCTTTAAAAGCCAGAAACTTCAATTGGGTAATAAAATAACATTATTCCACAGACTTTAATAATTTATTTTACAAGTAGCTGCAAAAAGGGTGATGGAATTAGGAATGAACATAAACAGCATCCCTTGAGATTACTTGCCATTCTAAGTTCTATTGTCTGTACCGATACCTTCAGAAGAAATTAGCAAAATCAGGAAGAAAGGATTTTTGTACGGAAGATATAATGTAGCATGATATTAGGAAATAAAAGCACCTGGCCATATTTGGCCTCTTTATAAGTAACATCTGATCTGGATAGTACTTAGATGGGAGACTATCGCCAAATTCCAGGACTTCTGGCTTCTTGTGAGTAGCCCAGAATTGCTTAAGATGGGCAGCCATATAATATTATAAATATATAAACAAATATGGTTGAAAAATAATCCAAAGGCATCCATAAGTAAATGAAAAGTGGAAAAATGGAATTCTGAGATAATAGCTAAGATAAAAAGCTACAAAATACTGATTTAAACACTGGCTGATAGCATTTATATGTACTATGGTTTGTAAAACACAATAAAAATATTCATATAAAAAAAATCCTGATCGTTAGATGCAACATTATGTTCAGATATAATACTGAATTGTTACTACTGAATGAATCTATTCTCTCATCTTCTGACAAGCCTGTAGTTAGTTGTAACTCATGTATTCAATTCATACACATATCAACTGATAATGTAGCTTATTAGGCTATAGTTCAGCATGATGTAACTCATTGTTTCTCAGTCCAATATATGAACCCACCAGTTTATCTGAATAAGCCAGAATCATAAAGCATAGTGAAAATGTTTTATACTAGTTTGAATATAAACACAAGTTCATTGGAAACTAGGAATAATTTCTTCTTCATAATCACAATGGAAGAAAGCTGAAAAGACATACAAGATTTTCAGCCTTACCTGGCTCATTGTATTAATCTGAAGCTCACAATTATATCTGAATGAGGTCAGTGTATGTAATAGCTTGATTAGGCCGTAAGCTCTTAAAATAAGGGACATGGTAGTTTGTTTCTCAAAGTGCTTTTAAAAGTATGAAGTGGGTATGAGTGATTCATACTGACAGAATCTTCCTGTCCTTGAAAATATGGATCACTAAAATACAATACATGAACACCAACAAATAACATCACCAAGTAGTTTTAATTATTGCTATTGAAGCAAAGTCTGGAGATGCACACGTGACTGATTAAAATAGAAACATAATGTCATACTTGGAGATGAAAGAGAATGCCAGAATTCAAACCACTACAAATTATTATCTCTGGATTCTGCAAATTGGAAAACAATAGCACATAATGGTCTTCGATCATGACTAGAAAAAAAGAAACCATTGTTCAAATGCCCAGTCTATTTTTCTCCCCAGTCTAAGGACTTCCAAATAGAAAGTTACAGAATCCATGCAATTTTTGAGTCTTGTCTCTTATAAATTCAACAGTGCCCAAAGGAAAGGAATTTCTAGTCCAACCCAGAGTAGCTAATCAAATGTAACTGAAGTGAATGCTGGTTTATTTCTACCAGCGTTTTCATCTGCATTGAATTTTAAATTCTAGCTTGTTTGTTTGAACTCAGGGGTCTCTCCTTCATAAACAGCTCTGCATTTTGATGATGAGGAAAACAATAAAACAAGGCAGAAATAACCCACCATACTTGCCAATCCAAAATTAGAAAAAGATGATTGATACATACCTCATCCCATTCCCAACATAGTTCTTCCCTGATTTGAGCTGTAAAATATGGATGCCCTACCCCCCCCCCCCCAAAAAAAAACCCTGATCCTTGGAACAGTCTGGGTAACAGATGGAACTTATAGAAAGGATTTACCAATGGAAAAGAGCAAAGAAGAAAAGCACTGGCATGGGGCACATAGGTCCAGATTGTTAATTAGGCTCAGAAACATACAGACTATCATGAACTAATGATAAACAGAATATTTTCCTGCCTTGTCTATATCAGGTGGCAACCTGTGGAATTCAGTACTTTGCCAGGGTATAAGAAGAGCCATTAATTTAATAGGAGGACGGATAGGATTACCTTAGTTGGGCTGCCAAATTCTAGACAACTATTATACAGCAGTGAAGAATTACCGTATTTTTCAGATTAAAAAATGCATCTGACTAGAAGATGCACCTAGGTTTAGAGGATGAAAACAAGAAAAAAAATATTCTGAACCATATGGTGTGGTAATATATTTAATAAAATATAGCAGAATAATATTTCAACCATGTAAAGTCAACAGCGGTATTAAGAACCATCATCACTATCATTAATAAATGAGGAAAGACTTTAAGGTTCAAGTACTCTTCTAATTTTTTCCCCAATTGCACAGTGGCAGATAGGACAGCACTCCAGAGGGTCAACGTCATTGCCCAGAGGATCATTGGTTGCCCTCTCCCCTCTTTGGAAGAGCTTTATAGCTCCCACTGCCTTAAGAAAGTTCAAAACATTCTTACAGATCCATCTCATCTGGGCACCCTTTTTTTGAACTATTACCATCTGGCAGACGGTACTGGATAATAAAAACAAGGACAAACAGGCTGAAAAGCAGCCTCTATCCCAGGGCAGTAACCATATTGAATTCTATGGTATAGTGCAATATCGGGTTTTCAATTTCAATTATATAGAAAGTAAAGGATGTATGTTGTGGGTTTTTATTTTTATAATTGTAATGTACACTGAAGATGGCATTTAATTTCACTGTACCATTTGCAGTGACAATAAAATAAAACTAAACTAAATTAAATTAAATTAACTCATCATCGCTAGTGTCAGAATTTAGGAAGCTCAGTTGCCCACAATCACTGATATCACTTTCTTCGCTATCTTCATATATGATATCATCTTCAGTTCCATCTAAGACATTGTTAATGCCACATTTTTTGAATGACCATGCAACAATTTCGTCCTTCACTGAATGCCATGTTTTAACCCATTCACAAACTTGAATGATAGTGGGCCTCTTCATTCATCCAGTAGGTGTCAGATCACGATTACCAGCAGCCATCCTTCCACTCTTCTCGCATACAGACTTTAAATATTATGTTGATGAAAACATCAATAGGTTGCAATTGGCTGGTAAGACCCCCCAGGAATTACAGCTAGACAAGTCTTCACTTCTTTAAATCTCTTCTTTGTGGTTTTGCTAATATGTGCTCTAAACTGGTCGAGCACTAATAAAGCATGTTTTTTTCAGAAGCTCTCCAAGACGTGTGGACTACATTTTTTCAATCCATACTCTCATTCCATTTTCATCCATCTAGCCTTTCTCTTGAACATGCACAACAATTCCTTTTGGAATCACTTCTTTTGGAAAGGTTTTCATTTTGAAAATTAACATCTGTGGCAATTTGGTAATGTGTTTTCTCATGTCCTGAGGTTTTCACGGTTATGCTTTTGGCACCTTTCAGATCAGTCCTATTAGGCACATCAAGGTTAGCAGGACTTCATCCATATTCACAATCTGGCCAATTTCAAAATTATTTTTCTTCCTAGCATCTATTACAATTGTATGAAAAGAAAGAATCTTAGATTCATATTCTTTTAGTATTTTTTGGGCAATTCTAGTTTTGATGTGCATAACAAGGCTATATCACCTCATAAATCTGAAGCACCAAGATGGTGATCCAGTAAAATCCTGAATGCTTTTCTCTAGAGCAATTTTTTTGGCTTCATATATTACAGTAATGGCTAACCTTTTTCAGATCGCATGCCAAAAGCAGGGGGAGGGCAGGGGGGTCGTGCACGGGCATGCCAACACCCATAATGCTATGTGTGCAAAAAAAAAACACCCGCTTTTGGCCGCAATGGACCCATTTTTTGCCCTCCCCAGGCTCCAGAGATTTTCTAGGAACCTGGGGAGAGCAAAAACAGCCCCCCCACCCTCTGGAGGCTTCAGGAGGCTTCCCTGAAGGCTCTGGAGGACAAAAAACGGCCGTACACGCAACCAGAATTGACTTCTGGTTTGTCCATAGGTCTGTTTTTCGCCCTCCAGAGGCTTCAGGGAAGTCTCCTGAAGGCTCTGGAAAGTGAAAAACGGACCTACGGACAAACCAGAAGTCACTGTTCCCGAACTTCCAGGTTGTCCTTACGGCTGTTCAGGGAAGCCTCCGGAAGGTGAAAAATGGCTGAAAAAGAAGTCTGCGTGTGCTGGAGCTGACAGGGCAACGCCTCCCGTGCCCTAACAAACAGCTATAGGTTCGCCATCACGGATATATTACCATTTTATAAAAACTGTGAAGCCATTGTTCCGGTGACGTGTCCTCCATTTTTTCATGTCCATCTCTAACTATGGCCACTTTGCAGCAAGCCCATGATAATCGTGCTTACTTTTATCTTTTACTTTTTGTAGCTGATCCACCTGTATCATTTTTTTCAGTTGGTGGTCCAAAATATATCTCTGCTTCTCTGTTTTCATGTTCCTCAGTATATTTTACTACTACCAGTTTAAAAGAAATTTTATATGCTTATCTTTGACATCCTTGTACTGGTACGTAGTGTGAGTAGTATTTTTCTGCAAGAAAGAACTGTCAGTAATGTGTTCTTTATTGTTATGAGAACACTGTAGCTTAAACTATGTTCATAAATTGATACACAATATACTGGTATACAGTATACAATACATGCTACACTAGCTCATTAGGAGGGAAATACGAGGAGCAGGGAAAGAGGAGAAAGCAGCCTTCTTTTCTCAAGCTAGCTGCTCCGTTGCCCATTTCTCCATTGCAGCACAGCTCTTCTGCCCACAAAAGCCTTGTCTTTGATGGCTGATGCCAAAGCAGAGAAAGAGCTGCCAGGAAGAAGCCAGTCAGCATGGGAGTTGAGTACTTTTCCTCCCCCACCTAAACCAACAATAGCAAGCTGAGAATTTTAGGACATTGGTGATTCTTTTCCTCCCGAAAAAAATATCTAGTGATGTTATCTTTACAAAGGCAAACAGGCACGTTCTAACATGCCTCCCATGCTAATAAAACACAGTCTGTCACCCCCAAATTACATTGATGGCTGCGATAAATGAGGGGCAAGAAGTCATGCCATGCCCAGCAATGCAGGGAAAAGGGAAAAAGGGATGGCAAGAGGAGCCCCGTCTCGCAATATGTGCCACAATGTAAGGCGGTGGCAACCTAGCCACTTCCCTTGCTCGCCTTCTCTAGTGCTGGAAGCCAAGCCATACCTGTCTTTCTTCATGTCTCCACGCAGTCCACCACACAGGCTGGGAAGGGTGCACTTGCGGCAGGGCGCCTCAACTAACTGCTTGACAAACAGGGCAACCAGACGTAGAGCACACCCAGGCAAGTCAGTGGTGGGATTAACCGATTCTCCAAACTGCACACAACTTTAACAAGTGGTTTGGCTGAACTGGGTGAATCTCACCTCTGCGTTGCTGCTTCAGCTGGGGAACGCTGGAGCCTTCTCGGCCGATTGGTGGTTGGATCAGCCTCACAGACTACTGCCAATCAGCTGCTCCAGGCAGCTGGGATTGCTACTGCTTGTCGCTGCTGCACAAACTCTGTCCCCCCTCCACCCAGGTATGGCAAACCCCCAGCTGATTAAACATTTGATGTATAAGATGCACAAAAATGTTCACTTACTTTTGCGGGGGGGGGGGTCTTATACTCTGAAAAATACAGTAGTTTTCTGATTTTTTTTTAAATTGTCATCTATTGACTATTTTCTAGATGTGGTAGCCAATGGTTGCAAGATCAAGGAAGAAAGAGGAGATAAATGGTAATTCAGGTCACAGCTATCATGAGAGCCTCAGGTCGCAAGACTGGAGAAGCTACATACTATAATGTTAGAGGAGATGTTAGCCAGAACCCCAAACCTCTTAGGTCTGTGTTTTATCAATAATCAATCTTGCTTGCATGTAGCTTCATCAAATCTGAAACTATGCTTCAACTATGGATTTTTATTCTAAGAAACTATGCTGTTGCAACTGGCACTAGTATCATTAGTGTATGTCACTCTGTGACAATGTAAGATATTGTATGCGTACCATTCTTGGTACAATCCTGTTGAAAAGATTTCCGCTGGGCTAGGGTTCTTGACAACTGCTGCCAGTTCAAATAGGCTATACTGGGTGTGACAAGAAAAGTAAGATTCAGAAGGAGACAGCTTGGTGAGTTCATCTCCAAATTACCTTGAGGTGTTTCTGCAATTGGACTTCATGCTGCCGTGTTAGGTGCTCATGTTGCTTCTGAAACTCGGCAAAGAGCAGCTGCTTCTGCAATTGCTGTTGCTGTTTCAGAGCCAGTAGTTCCTGCTGCAGCTGCTGCTCCCGGGCAGTTGGGTCCATAGTAGGCACATTGGACCGGGAATCCATCCGCAAATCCACTGGGCTGCTGCTGCTGTTGCAAGAACTCTGCATCACCATGGGAAGAACCGGCTTCAAGTCCATAGCTGGAGATTAGAAAGAGAGTTCATGATTGCAACAAAGAGAGCTGAGATCATGGCCTACATGTGCATGTTTATCTGTCCTTAAAGAAGAGCCTTGCAGCAAGTAGAGTTCTTCTGTCTGCATGATAAAACTGTCCATTAAAAATAAATTTAATGGATATATTATTATAATTTTATGCATATCAGTAGATAAACATGATTGATCATCTATGAAGCCTATCTTGCCATTGGTTGCTCCAACGTCATGGAAGGTTGATTAACAGTCTGGATGCTTGAGAAAGGGTTTGGGGTTTGCTTGTGGCTGACAATAACAAATGGGAGTCGCAACAAAATATTATATTTCAGATATTCAGCCAGCTACCCATTCTTTTTCCCCCAGGATTGATTCAATACCCTTACACCTTTTTCCTCTACTGAGTAATTGTTTCCTGTTCAGTGACCAAGTTCTAGCCTACTAGTTTATAGGATTAAAAGAAAATCTTATTTTTCTTCTTCTCAAAAATGTTGTACTTCTGCAAACATTAAAACCCCTTTAATCCTGCTGATAACCCCCTTATTTTGTATAGATTGTGCTGCTTGACTACCTAAGAATCCATGGTTAGATTATAATTTAGAAAGTGGGAGGAATAAACATTCTTGCTGCTATTGCTAAATAATAAAAGAAAATATTTCTTGCCTACACGTTTTTCATCCTTTTAATAGCCCTTGTGAGATTGCTTACAGTATTATACTGAGGAACTCCAAGTACATGGATGAACACACATCAGAATTGTGGATTCAAAAATTCAACATAAAGAAGGCAAAGAGGCTTGGAAATAAAAGCCACAAGTAGATTGAGTTTCATATCTTCATATAACCATATTCATATAACTAATACCCCCACCACAAATTTATAATTTTTTTAGGTATCACAGCAACATACTTGCTCTAGGTTTTGCTCCTCAGTTTATAACAGTCAGCTTTTAAATCCTGGCCAAGAGTTCAATGTCATCATTATAGGGGCATGATATTAATGAAGAACATATTTAAAATGAGTTTGTATTTTTCCTGACTTCCCTTCACCAAGATGGGCAGACAAACTAAATATTCAAATGTACTGATTTTCAGTACTCTTGAAGAACACTGACAACTACGTTGCAAAGTAAAAGTTTATTTATTATAAAATAATTAAAAATCATTTGCAAGATATGGAGCAGCCTCTGAATCTTCCATGCCCACTGCAGAGATTTACAATCCAAGCCGGTGGTAAATATCATGCCAGTCTCAGGCATCTGGCATCTATTGAGGGTTTAACATATGAACCATATCACAATGAATGAATGGATGAGTATTCCAAAGTTCCAAAGAAATCTATTCATAAGTGGATCCAATTTCCAATTAGTACTACTTATTTTTAAGATATTTTGCCAACACACTGCCATTGTAATGACTTTTTTATCCACCAACATTTTAAGATGCCTGGACATGAATGCCACAAATTCTCCCACATCTTCAGTTTTCCAAGTCTAAAATCAAGATGAGACCTCCTAAATCAATATGAAGATGTAGGTGAAAATATGATACTGTACAGAAGTAGACATAAGGATCATCTTCAGGGATATTCATCTAACCAACGTTTGGAGGTTTGTTTAAGAATCTGTGCAGACACACAAATTATTGGTTTTCAATGTTACCGTTTTACACATATTTGGGCCTTGATTCAAAGGTCTGGAAAAATGACACAAGAAGTATTCATCACAGATAAATCTTGTAAAATAAAATCCTTGGTGGCCTAGGCCACATATGCTGCAAACTAAGATGGTAGCAAGGGCTGTTATTTTGAAACTTCCTATTTATGAAAAACTCTCTACAAATAAAAAAATGTGTCAAAAAGCAGCAAGACAGCTATTGCTCATTTCTTCTGGTTATGTTTACTTGTAGAGATTTATGTTATATTTTTATAAGGAAGTTATTTGCAAGCACTGTCTCCTACACCACCAGAAGAAAATCTTACCTCACTATCTCAGCAAATATGTAGCCTGATGTATCAACAGATTGGGCTTGGGAAGGGAGGAAATTTAGATGGCAGCTATTCCCAGGCAATCAAAGCTCTGTCCTTTTTTACATATGTGCGACACATATAACAAAGCGACAGGGCTTCAATCACACAGTCATGACTGCCATCTTGAACAGTCACACACACTGACACTTTTAGATTAGGCTATAATGAGAACCAGTTGAGAGCAAAAGAGGGGGGGGTTAAAGTGTGGTTAACTGAGCTGTATCTTTATACATTAAGAAGGTTGCTTTGAAGAGAAGCGAAGGAAATTCCCACCTAATTAAACTTGTGTGTCTGTAGGAACTCTGTAGAATAAAACTTATTTAAAAATAAACTTTGGCTTTTTTCTTCCAAAGTATAAGGCTTTCTAAGGATATTACTTTTTTCTTAGCTTGTTTAAAGTCTTAGGAGTTGCTAAAGTCAATCCCTAGCAATCCAAACATTGGATTCCTAAACCCCCAAACATAATTGCAAAATTGCAATTAAAAACATGTATCTCTATCAGCGTAGAGAATTCCTTAGAAAAAAGGCCAGCCTCAGATGGACATAAAACAGAAATATCATGGCAAGGTTCATCAAGGGATAGTTTTCAAAAATAGCTATGAGTTTATAGGCCAATAATGACTGTAATCTACTGGACAGGGGCAAAAGAAATATAATCTAACCCCCAGATGATGGATAAGATGAAATAACCTGCATCTGGAGTCAATCTGTCTCCAACCTAGGTGGGATCTCAGCATGTTGGCTGCAGAAATCAGATGCTTTTCCAAAGTAAGATCTCACAATGTGCTTTACTTTAAAATTTATTGTCACTGTGATGTACTAATAATTTTGAGCCAGAGGACTGGTAGTCTTACAACAATGAGCATTAAATGGATATTTGCCCTTCTAGAATTCATTTGAAAGGTCTTTTCAAGCAGAAGACACAGCTTTCAAACCTCAATACAGAGAGAGAGGCAGAGGCAGAAAGAGATTTCTCACAGATTGGCAACTTGGGTAGAACTTAACACTACTTGTGCAGGTTCTTTTTGCACTTTCCAAAGTAACACTGCTATTGCTACTGTTCCCACTCTTCCATATCTGAGTCACTTGCAGTCAATTTGGCACACCGTGAATGAACAAGGTCTATGGTGACTCATCAAATACATACCCTCTGTTTTCACTGCTGTTGTAAAAAAAGTACGATCTGTTTTATTAAGTCACATGTGCATGTCTTTGGTATGTATGTGCATATATATGTATGTATGTATGTATGTATGTATGTATGTATGTATGTATGTATATGTATATGTATATGTATGCTTATAGAACTCCGCATCACCATTACGATCCTAAACCAGAACCGCAGCCTAGAATAATCCTGCACAGAGAGATATGGACATAGCATCAGTAGCTGAGAAATTAAGTTCGACGCAAATCCTCCAACCATTCAACCATCCTTTTCTGGTTTTCTGTTGTAATTATAAGAGGTTGAGCCAGGGAGAAAAGGCCACAAAAGACAGCAAGAAAGTCAGGAACTAAATATAGATGAAGCCAAACAACAGCTGTTCACAGAAAGCAAGGAGAGGAAGAAAGAAGGATAGTTAACTCAAAGGTGAGAAAGACAGAAGACAGGGGTATGTGTGTGCGGGAGAAGAACTCTGCAGATTCTTGATTGATTGTTCTCAGGTTTTAATGCTTCTTGAAACTCCTGTCCGTTGAGCAAAATAGAACTGGAAATAAACAGTTCTGCAAAGTTTTAAAAGGCATAGAGAAAAACAGTTTTTATTCTTGAAAAGTAGAGACGTACTAAATACTAATATGTTTTGATTAAAAATTTCCAAGGCAGTTGCAGTAAAATGTTAATGTACATGAGACAAACAAATAAACCTGAAGCCAAGCTGTTTTAGATTTTTTTTCTCAAGTAAATAAACAAAATTGTCCAATACAAAGAGTGCTATGTCAATAGCTTGTAGTTATAGCCATTGAATAAAGTATCCAACTTTAACTTGGATATCATGGTTATTAATCCAAGGATTTTTCAAATTGTGGATCCAGACCCTGGTAGAATAGTGACCAACATTTTTAGATAGGGTTTATGTCACTATTTAATTATTTATTTATTTGTTTTTTAAAATCTGATCTGATTTTTGCAGGCATAGTGAAAACATCAAATTGGGTTTGGGCATTGATCCTCATTTTGCTTATGCACACTACAGTAGGTAGTTGCTGTCCTCCAGATTCTTATGATAATACATAATCATTATTATGTATCAATAGTGTATTGTTATTGATGATACATTAATGCAAAGTAATTATCATTTTAGTAGTGCAAAGTTTGAAAAGCAATATATTAATTGATTAGCTGACAGCATTGTGGAGAGAGAATGTTGAGGGTTGAGATTAAGGTTAAGAACTCAAGGAAAGTCTTGCAAATGCCATCAAAATCCAGCATCTAATACACCCAGCAGTCTACCAGAAGCTCACAAGGAGAACAAAAGGCAAAAGATATTTCCCAATTTTTTTGCTTCACAATATTTTATAAAGTTTTTAAATGATTCAAATATAAGCAAGTCCCCAACTTTCAACCACAAATGGGATTAGAATTATTGCTGTTAAACAAGCCTATGTTAAGTAAGTTGCACCTAATTTTACAACTTTTTGTCTTGGTTGCTAAACAAAATAGTGCAACTGTTAAACAAATCAAGGGGCTGTTAAGCGAATCTAGCTTCCCACATTGACTTTGCATGTAAGAATTCAGTTGGGAAGGTCACAAATAGGCAAGGTTCAGAACACTATAACCATCATAAAGATATGACAGGTTCCCAAATTTTGATCACATGAGGATGCTGCAAGTGTGAAAACCAGTTGTAAGTCACTTTTTTCAGTCTTGTTATAGTTTCAAACAGTTGCTAAAAAAACGATTGCAAGTCAAGGACAATTTGTAATCTTAGCCTCCAAAGATTCCACAGGCATGTAATGCAAA